AATGGAAGCAAGAATTTACATTGGAGTAAAGATAGTCTATTTAATAAATGGTGCTGGGAAAATTGGACTGACACATGCAAAAAAATGAAAATGGACCACCTACTTACACCATACACAAGAACAAATTCAAAATGGATTAAAGACTTAAATGTAAGACCTGAAACCATAAAACTCCTATTAGAAAACATAGGGAGTAGATTTGCAGACATTACTCCCAGTAATATTTTTGCTGATATAGCCCCTTGGGCAAGGGAAATAAAAGAAACAATAAACATATGGGATTACATCAAACTTAAAAGCTTTTTCACAGCAAAGGAAATCATCAATAAAATAAAAAGGCAGCGTACTGAATGAGAGAAGATATTTGCCAACAATATATCTGATAAGGGGATAATATCCAAAATTTATAAAACAGTCATTCAACTCAATACCTAAAAAACAAACAACCCAATTAAAAAGTGGGCAGAGGATATGAAGAGGCATTTCTCTAAAGAGGACATACAGATGGCCAACAGGTATATGAAAAAATGTTCAACCTCACTAATCAGTAGAGAAATGCAAATAAAAATCACAATGAGATACCACCTCACTCTGTCAGAATGGCTATCATCAATAAATCAATAAACAACAAGTGTTGGCGAGGTTGTGGAGAAAAGGGAACCCTGGTGCACTGTTGGTGGGACTGCAGATTGGTGCAGCCATTATGGAAATCAAACTGCCAAGGACATTTTTCTCAGAAATAGAACATAGAATCCTAAAATTTATATGAAATCATAAAAGACCCCAAATAGCCACAGCAATCTTGAGAAATAAGAACAAAGTGGGAGGTATCACACTACCCGACATCAAATCATACTACAAGGCTGTAGTAATCAAAACAGTATGGTAGGTATGTCAGAAAACTGGCAAATTCTTGTACCTTGAAATCAAAGTGTGTAATGAGAAAATACAAAATGCATAGAAAAAAGCATTTGCAATCCAAATACTCAGAACCAGAAATTTAAGTGCATGTTTATAAATGTTTTTAACAATTAAATAAAAATAAATATTTAAGCAAGATTTTATCATCTTTAAGATATAGTAATGGTATAACAAGAGAATAGAATTTTCTCTGTCATCTATATAACCAAAAAGAGTAGCCTTTTAATAAATACAAAGTGTGATGAAACAATATGGTGATGTTTAAATAAAAAAATTATTACACTAAAAGACACATTGCCATTAATCCCACTCAAAATACCCCCTCTCACTTTGAACACACTTATCCCATAGTTCTTGCCATTTTCTGAAGCAGTTCTGGAAGTCCTTTTTCGTGAGTGTATGTAGTTGTGCTGTCGTGGCTGCCTCGATGTCCTGAATTGATTCTAAACGTTTACTTTTCAGGTCATTTTGACTTTGGGGAAGAGCCAGAAATCACATGGTGCCAGGTCCAGTGAATAAGGTGGATGAGGACACACTGTAATGTTTTGATTTGACAGAAATTGCCGTATATCAGAGCAATGTGTGACACAGAGCATTGTCATGATGGAGGATGATTTATGGCACACTTTAAAACACACCTTCTCTCAACTGTAGCTCACACCCGACTGACTGCATTGAACAAGTTGAAACTTGTCACACACTGTTAACAAGGTTCAGCGTACCACTTCCATGTTGAAGATCCCTGCCTTTTCCTTGGATGGCACTCAGCAGGAGCATTCACTATATTTTGTGATCACAACAGAAAGGCTCCATGTCACACATTGCTTCTGGTACGGAAATTTCTGCCAAATAAAAACACTGCAGTGTGTCCTCATCCACCTTATTCACTGGATCTGGCACCATGTGACTTCTGGCTCTTCCCCAAAGTCAAAATGACTATGAAAGGTAAATATTTTGAATCAATTCAGGACATTGAGGCAGCCACAACAGCACAATTACTGACACTTAAGAAAGACATTTCCAGAACTGCTTCAGAAAGTGGCAAGAATGATGGGATAAGTGTGTTTGAAGCAAGGAGGAGTATTTTGAGGGGGATTAATGGCAATGTGTCTTTTACTGTAATAAATTTTTTTATTTAAAAATTCACTGTATATTTATATCATATCTTATAGCTAAGAATAGTGTAAAATCTAACAAATTTAGTCATTCTCAGCAGAAGTACTTGGCTGTGTAAAACGTAAGTTTAATACTACTTGTGGCAAATAGGGATTATGTTTTGAAGTGGTTTTGATATGGCTAATAATAACAAACACAAATACTCTTAGCATACACATACGTTGTTTAATTGTAAACTGATGAAATTTACGATTTTGAAAATTTACCATACTTGATGTGTAATATTGTCTTTGTGTATAAAATGTTTCCCCTAAAGAGTTGATTTCACTTTAACCATTTGTAAATGTGAATAAAAGTAGAGTGCATTTAATGACTATTCAAAAATTTATAATAAAAATTTACATTTGTACTATTATAGTTTTATTAAAGGGAAGTCATTTGTGAGTTCTTCCTTTTTTTTTTTTTTTTTTTAAGATTTTTATTGGGGTATTGGGGGGAAGGGAACAGTGCTGGGGAATTGGGGGAAGGGGAACAGACAAGTTGCTGTCCTTTTG